CATTGATGTTTCTATCTCTCTCTCTCCCTCTCCTTTCCTCTCTCTGAAATCAATAAAGATATATTAAAAAAAAAAATTATAAAAAAACACAACTTCTCGTGTGTTGCAAGTTAAGAAATAGAATTCCAAATATTCCACAGGACAAAGGAGATGTCAGAGTGAAAACCGTAACCCTAACGCTGTTGGTCAAGCGCAGAGAGAAGGCACGAGACGCGAGTGTTGGGAATGGAGGAGGGGCCCCGGCGGCGGTGACGATATTAAGATGACACGATTCTATTACGGAGACCCTGGCTCTGCCAAATAGAGTAGCCCCATCCCTCCAACTTCTCCTTCCTCCCCTGACAGCCCAGGCGTCACCCAGCACCCGGCGTGAGAAGACCGGACGCTGCAAAGCAGGAGGGGCTGCCGACCCGCGCAGGGATCTGAGGGTCACCACCGCAGGGAGTTCGCTCCCTGGTGTCCTTGTCGTCTGCCCTGTACTCAGATCCACCGACGCACAGAAAAAGGTAAGTCCAAGAAAATCTACAGGATGGGAAAGTGGTGACCTGACAACAGGAAACCTTCCTGGCCACGCCCACCCTGCTCCAGGCAAACACCCGTGGAAAACGGCACCCGCACCCCTTAGAGGTCCCGGGGGAGCTGGCCTCTCACCCACCCTCACCCTCCACCTGCAGAAGCAGACGGGGCTCCTGCTCCGCTGCTGGGGGTGTCGGGCCCACTCCTGCTCCTGCACGGAGCAGAGGTCCCGCCCCCTGTTGGACACTCTCCTGTGCAGGATCCATGCCTGGGGCTGGGCGCTGGCCCTCTGCTGGCCCCTGGGCGGTGGTGCTGTAGGTGCACATTCCTGAAAGGATGGGCCGTGGGGAGGAGCCCGCTGTCGCCAGCTCGCCCAGTGGGTGGCTGGTGTCCTCCAGGAATAGTGGCCTATCGGGGACGCGGCGTTGGTCTTCGTTGCAGAGGTTTGACACTGAGAGGTGGCATGAGCTGGAAGGGCCCAGGACGGTGGTCCATGCTGCCGGGCCTGTGTGTAGCTCTGCCTGTTCTGTGCCCAGTGTGTGCGTGTGCCACCGGGGTGCTGACAGCTGGTGAACGTCAGTTGGCTGAGACATTTCAGCTGCTCGGTTGGTTGCTCAGCAACTCTTCTGGGCACATGCTTTCTGCTGACGTCCACACGTGAGCAGGTCTTCGCACCTTGTTCCCGTGCCCCCGTGCCCCCGTGCCCGTCCACAGGCCCTGCCCCAGGCCCCTCTGCATCGTCTTCCGCCCAGTTATCCTTGCCCTAGACCTCTGGCTGCAGCCGGCCTGCTGACCGCTGCCTGGGGACAGATATGCAGTGTCTCCAGTCTCCCAGGGCCGCCTTGGGCAGGAGCAGCCACTGGCACCTTTTGGTTTGCTCCCGTTGACAGAGCCAGTCTCTCCCTAAATCAAGCTGGGCCTTTCCCTCCTCCCTCAGCTTGGGGAAGGGCAGCACAGCGGGTGCGACACGGGAGGACCCGGCTGGGCTGACGCGAGGTCTCTGAACCACTGTTGCCCCTCGGGAAACCCCCACGTGGTCAGACGACGGGCCTGCATCGCGCCCCCAGCCGTGCCGGTCGTTGGTGGGCAGCCCATGGGAGCCCAGCTTCAGTGCAGGCGGAGACGGGTCAAGAGGGCAGCGGCCGGGCCACCGCCAGGTCCCTCCTCGCAGTAACTTGAAGGCGCATTGTCCCAGCTGTGACGCCCGCCTTCTCTCCATCGCCCGCGCCTCCCACGGTGGGCGCTGGAGCCTTCAGTCCCCTTCCCACAGGACAGGGAGGGCGCAGTCACACCGCAGAGGACCTATAGCTTCCTCCGTCCCCCTGGCACTATGGCAACACTATTTCCCCGGGTGGCCGGGGCCAGTCGCTCCCCCAGCAGAGTCTCCTCCTTTCCACCGGCTGGTTCAACAGCACGAGCGGAAGCTCCAGGTTACGATTTCGCAGAAGAACCCCCCCACATGCCTCTGAACCAGCAGAGCCCAGAAGAGCAGAGACAGATGCTTTGCTGCTCCGCAGGTGGGGCGACAGTGAGGAGCCACCCCCTCCCGCCCTCCAAGACCCCGAGTTTCAGCGATGGAGGCAGCCCCGGCACGTTTTACTCTCACGCGGGTAGGGAAGTTCTCGGGGCTCCACAGGCACAAAATCAACGAGGGAAACGTGGCCGGTTGCCGCTCTGAGCCTAAATCCCCACCAGGAGGACACTGCGCTGCCGACCTGGTGATGTCACTGGGCTGGCACCTTGAGTCTTCAGCAGGTGCCCCCCAGCCCCGTCAGTCCAGATGCTCCCAGGTAATGGGGTGCGTGGGGATACCAGCATGTCGCAGGAGCGCGTTCGCCGTGGCTCATCCTGTGAGGTGGACTCCCCGCCAGCGGCAATGTGACAGGGCCAGCAGCCGGCAGCACTCAGCAGGCCCACGGGCGGTGGCTTGGGCAGAGACGGTGGAAAGCAAGTCTGTGCCCAGTTCCAGTGTAAACGGAGTGCTGACCCTTCCCGGTGAACTTGACCGGTGGACTCCACCTGCCGTCCAGGGGCCTGGCTGGCTCCCCGGTGAACCCTGGGCTCTGTCTCCTGCTGGAACACTGGGCGCCCCGAGCGGCTGTGGTCAGACCAGGCCTTGGTGACCGGGGAGACCCTTCTTTTGCCGTGGGGACGCCACGGCAAGGTGGAGAGAGGCTGACTGCTGTCCACAGAACGGGCCGTCGTGTCCGTAGGATTAAGGTTCCCCTCCGGCGCCTTCAGTGCGCTTCCTCTGCTCTCGCAGGTTTTCTCACCGCACCTTGTTACGGAATTTCCACGCCTGTTCTGAGTCTCTGATCGGTGCTGACTTGTTGCTTAAACATCTCTGCGGGTCCACCCAAACCTCCAGCCCCCTCATTCCCGGCAGTGGAGCAGCAGGCGGGCGCGACGTTCCTCCCGTGCAAGGATCTCCCCTCGCCTCGTTCAGGGACACGCACACACTCTCACCCGGCGCCCCAACATGCCCGTGGCCGTCTACTTGGGGATGCGGCCAACAGTCTTCTTTAAATCAGGCTCGAATATTTCTCCCCAGGGAATCTGTCACAGAGACGTCCCCACGAGGCCACAGACATGGGCAGAATGGAGGCGGGAGGAGGGGCGGGGAGATTCTGAGCCACCCTGTGTGGAACTTACCCCGCCCCCAGCCCCTTACACGCCCCCGTCCACCCCACAGGCCAACAGAGAGCTGCTGTGGACACCCCACTTCCCGGCTCGGTGGTCAGAATACAGCCGCGTTGTGAAGCGAGGTTGTCATCCAAACCTCTCCCGCCCTTGACATCTTCAGTTCAAAGTCCAGTCGCAGGCGCTACCCACGTGGGAGAGGGTCCCACAGAACGCAGCTCGTCCCTTCGGAGCAGCCCCAAGGGTGCATCTGACAGCGTGTGCGCCCCAGGCATCCTCTGTACTGGCAGCCGCTGCAATGCCTCTGACAGGTAGAGAGGCTACACCTGGCACCCAACGCCCCGCAAACTGCCCTGGGCTCAGAGGCAATGAAAACAATGAAGGCAGTTTTGGGGAGAAGGCGAGATGACCTGAGGGAGACCGTGACGGTTCCCTCGGGGCGGGAGGGGCTGCCTCCCTTGGCGAGAGGAGCGGGTAGACTGTTGGGTGGAACGTGCTCAGCTTCCTACGTCCTTGCCTCGGTTTTGCGCGTACTGGTCTCGCTAGTCGATGCCTCGCCTCCGGCGTGAGTCATGCACGAGGCTGAGTTCAGGGTGCTCTGCGTCTGGCCCACGGGGTGAGGACTGGGCTTACCGTCTGCCGGGCCCAGGCAGAGAGGGCTGCTCCCGCGGGCGTCGCACAGGCCGCCCGGGCTTCGGAGCCCCGGACTCGCCCTTCGTCCCAGCAGGTGAGTGAAAGCAGCCTACTCGCCTCGGTCCTCACACATCTCCATCTTTTTAATTACAGAGCGTGTTTCACCTGCGCCTGGACAGCGGCGCCACCTTCTGCGGGCACCTGACCCAGGTGACGATAGGTGACGGCTTCATTAGGAAGCTGAGAAGCCACGAGTTTCCTGTAACTCATGTATTTTCCGGGTACGTCAATCTTCACAATTTCTGGTAGTTCCCTGCATTTCCAGCATAGCCCGGCAGTGTGTGTGGGGCGGGCGGGTCAGGTGGTGTTGGCCCTGGTGTCTGTCCCGTGGGGACACCACGATTACAACATTCTAATCGTCAAGAAAGCCATTGAGCCCTGGCTGGTGTGGCTTAGTGGTTAGAGCATCAGCCTGCGGACTGAAGGGTCCCAGGTTTGATTTTGGCCAAGGCTCATTTGGGAGGCAATCAAATTGATGTGCCTCTCATATCGGTGTTTCTCTCTCTCTCTCTTCCACTCTCTCTGAAAAGCAATGGAAAAAATATCCTCAGGTGAGGGTTGACGAAGGGAAAGTAGACAAGAGGCCGTCGAAAGGCTTTAAATAAAGCTTGGGCTGCCACCTGCCAAGTCAGCTGCCTTGAAGCCACGGTGCTGCTGGGCCCGGGCCTTGCACTGCAGTGGCTAAAGCTGCAATAATATGACAAAGTCTTTTTAAAGTGACTTTGAACTATGAAAGGTCAAACTAAATAAACAAACCCCATGAGTTAAATCAGAGGCGTGAAATAGGCTGAAGAAACAGGTGTGGGAGACGGCAGCCTGCGGCGAATCGGGGTGTAGTGAAGGGAGCACAGGCTTTTGAAAATCCAGAAAAACCTCTCGGGCAAATCTGATGATGTTTTGCGACTCTTTGAAAAGCAATGACCCGGAAGTATTTTGGGCTCCCATGCAGGGCTGGCAGGAACAGCAGGAACCCCGGGTTCCACGTGTAAAACACTCGGGTGTAGAGTGCTTCAATCAAAATGATGACACCATTTTTATTTTTTTTGTAAAATCTGATACATTTAATTTTGGCAAAATAGTGATTTATTATGTATTAACATTTCAAAAGTACACTTCTATGTTTACTCAACCCGAAGCGTGCAGAATGGCCGCTACAGACAGGTCTTGGCCGCGAACACCAGGCTGGTGTTGCAGTGCAGGCATTGGGTCCCGTCGCTGGGGTTGTAGGAGCCGGGGCTGCAGACCACTGTGGACAGAGCAGGGAGGGAGAAGGGTCCTCTGATGCCCCCGAGCTCACCTGACACAAGGGCAGCTTTCAAGGATCCCTCTTACTTTAAAACTTTGTTTTAATTGTGGTGAAATACACATAACGTCAGTTCACCATCCTCACCATGCTGCGCTGTGTGGCTCAGCAGTGTCAGTGGGCCCACACTGCTGCACAATCGCCTCCAGTGCCTTCACTGGGGAGAACGGCAGCTCTGCCCCCCATCTCCCCTCTTCCCTCCCCCACGTCTGTAGCCACAGCTCGGCTGTGTCTCTATGGAATCTGACTGCTCTACATACTTCACAGAAGTGAAAAGTCTTAGCCGTTTACTCTGACCCTGACTTAGACTAAGACCATAATCTGCAACGTCCTACTGACTCCACAGTGCTGAGCGTGGGCTGATGGGCCATCCTGTGAAGCCAGAGGTCAAGTCCGCGGGTGGGGCCCAATGTGACCCTGAATTGCCCACAGCCACCCCAACTCAGGTGGATGGGGAGCCCAGAGAGGGAAGGACGTGCACCTTATTTCTAAGTGTCTCAGTTTTTAAGACTTATTTCTACCACTTGTTAAATGTGTAATTTGAAAAAAATTACTTAGCCTAAATTAACTGAATCTAACCATCCCCATCATAAGGGAAACACACACTGTGAACTCTGGCTCGTCACTACCGTTTCCTCCCAGAGGGCGGCCGGCCCCCAACCCCCTTTACTGTGACATTAACCCCGAGGCTGAATGGAGCCAGCTTCTCCCTTCGCATCTTCGGGGTCACACGGTTTTCTCAAACACTCCCTCAGACACACCGAAGAGCCACGTGAGCAAAGTGAAGATAAGGAGCAGGTGCTCCTTCGGCACAGTGGACAGAAGCGGACGCGACAGGCATCAAGTGAGAAAGAGACTCCACCTACCACAGCACTCAGGACACTTTGGATGCTTCATGGCACTTATGCCGTACCCTGGGTAGCAGCGGTTAATCCAGACCATCTGCAGGGTGTCCTCAATGTAGTATATTTCAGGCAAGGGGCTGGCACGTCGGCCTAGGACTTCTACTTGTTGAGCAAAAAATCTCTCTATGAGGTTTTTAGCCTAAAATAGGAATACAACATGAAGAACGATTATTTTCACGAATAAATGTAACACAGAATGCACGAGGCTGCTTCTGAATTTAGAAGCGGGAAACTAAGCTCGTGAGGTCCTTGTTTGTTTCTCGCGTTCACAGGATGTGAACAACATAAAATTAAAGGGCGTCACCTCCTGCCACGGCACAAGGATGCTGTGTGGAACAGGCCCAGACCCTCCCCGCCACGTCAGTGTCACCTTCGTCAGCTTCTTGGAATATTCACAAGTTCGGTCGTCACACAGCTTCGATCCTTTGTCAGAACCTAAACATGAAACTGAGAAAGCACATTACGTTTTATCGTGGACCTAAAGTACCATCTCATAATATTTAAATTAGCTTCCTGAATTATAAAATAGATCATTTGTCTAATATTTCTCCTCCACGAAAAAAATTAAGCAATTTCCCCAAGGTTAAAGCCCCTTTTTTCAGCTAAAAACCTAAGCCAAATATTTGTTTTAAATACATCAGGAAAACCTCACGATCACAGTGAACTTAAAAATTAGTCAACTTCCTTGATAGTAGTAATGTTTGGCTACTAACAAAATTTTAACAGACTCATTTAGCTTCTATAACATGTGCATGTATGTGCAAATAGATCACTCAGTGTTCTACCTAACCTCACCCAGACGAGGTGTGTGTGTCATCTGACTAATTCTTAACCACAACAGAGGGATAAACCACAGCAATGACACTGGAAAGGGAAGGAGGTGGACTGTGGCAGAGGCCACGGTAACTGGAGCCATGAACACGTTCATTCATGTGAGGATGCCTGGGCCCATCCATCCAACATACTGCTAGGAGTCGTCTCTGTCCCAGGAGTTACCTGGGAGTCTAGGGCACAGACGAGCTCAGAATCAACAACCCCAATGCCTTTCTGGAAATTACATTCCAATGCAGAGGAAATAACAACAAACAATAATATGTAAAAAGGTGGTAGGTACAAGGCTTAACAAAGCAAGCGAGCAGGGAAAGCAGTACTGGGCCTGGGAGATGGTGAGAGGGTGACAATCATATGCTGGCTGATCGTCGGTGATACTCAAGCATTAAACTGAAAGACTGAGCTGGGAGGAGAGGAGACAGTGTAACTGTCTAGATCAGAAGCACGCAATGGGAGGGGCATCAAGAAGGCAGGCGTGGCTGGAGCTCGGAAGCAATGGAGCTGAAGAAGCCACGTGGGGCTGCGTGGTGTCGGCCACGACAAACCTAGGTTGGGTTTACAGTCTGCGTGAGCAGGAGGCCACTGCAAGAGGAATGACATGGAAGAGCAGCGGGACGGAGTACACTGTTGGCCCCGACCCCTCGCCCTCTAGGTACCCACGGCTTTGCTGAGGCCTGTATGGGGACCAAGCAGCATCCCATGACTAGAACTGGGCATGTGGCTCGCCAGTGGCAATGGAGAGAAGTTAAAGTATTAAGTCTTGGTCTAAATGCGTTTTCAGTTGCCCTCTCGAGCTTTTCATGTCACCAGGAGCAGAGCTTTCCACTGGTGGCTGCTGCCACCTCAGACATGCTCCTAGAACAGAAACACATGAATGCAGACGGCCAACCACGCAAGCTGGCCAAGAGCACGGCACACAGCCACCGGAGTCCAGCCTAGGCAGGTCCGTGACAATAAACGATCACTGTTTTAATGTTCAACGTGAGTTGTTAAGTTACATTTTTGTGTTGAAAGACATTTTAAACATTAGAGGGCTACCGTACTAATTCACTCAAAATATATTGGTGGCTTGAACCAAAGACAGTAGCAGAAGAATGGGTGAGAAGTAGCCGGATTCTGATAATATTTTGAAAATAAAACCAGAAAGACTTATTGAGATATTTGTTGTTGGGTGTATGAGATGTAAAGATAACACCAAGGTTTTCTGGACTTTGCAAGATCATCCAAGAGAAGTTCCTAGTGTACTATCAACACGTAAAAATCAAAGAGGGAGTAAGAGAATGATGGCTCCAGGAATTCTATTTGTCTTTCTAAATTAGCTCGTCAATCTGCTCATCGCAGAGCTCAAAACCTTGAGTAGCTCCCCACTGCTGATTGAAATACATGGGGGGGGATCTGATTTCTAGCCCGAGGTCTAACACTGACACATTATTTAGTGTTTCCTTTGGGACGTCTGCACCCTGTTATGTAAAACAAGAGGCTAACCGTTGTGATTCCCTCCTTTCCAGCTGTGAGAACAGGATTAAAAACATGTCAGTCTAACACTCAAAGCTCTAACTACAAGCAATTATGACAATTTATGACAATTTTACTTTCCCTAAATACTTTCTACATATCCTACCCATTAGCTTTTCTAGACAAATAATTTATTCATGTCCCAAACGAACCCTATGCGGTCTGTGTATATAACATTACGTTGCCATTTTACACAGAATTCTTTTAAGATGCCGATATTTTTTCTTGGACATCCTTAACTGTTCATCTCCTCAGTGACACCTTCCCTTTTACAGAACCCACGAAGCACCTGTTTTCTCTATTACAGTATTTATAGAACCTGTACTCTCGGTCTATGGATATTTTCTTTTTACCAGAATACGACCTTCTTGAAAAAAAAGCCAATACTATAGTATAAACATCTGCCTAATATGTTATATGAAGTGTTTGATGTCTAAGTGTTGACATGAAAATAATAAAACTGACCACAAATTATTAATAAACACAGACCCCACGTGGAGAACACTGGGAATCTTTGTTACCTCGATATCCTTTAACACCCCAAACTACACGGCATGAAACTTCACTGCTGCCCTCTGGACTGGTGTCATAAGATACCATAAAACATCACAGACAGGGCAGTAAAATACATCAGAATAATTTTACAAAATCAGAGCAGTTTTTAATCTGAAGCAGACTTCAGATAAGGCTGTAAATTTGAAGAAAAAAGTTTTTTTATGGCCTATTTTTACCTTAAATTGTTTTAAAATGAGTCTAACCTAAATCTGGACCAAAGAAAAGTAAAAATATCTAAATTTGTGTGTCACAAATATACACACCAGCAGTGGGCAACAGGAAAAGGGAATAACTGCGTCTCCAACAGCACCAAAAAGGGTAAAGTGTGTAGTTCACACATTTATCAAGAGGCACAGGACTTAACGCTGAAAAGTGCGGAGCGCTGCCAAAGTGGGTCTGAAAGTCTGCTGTGTGAGCGTTCACGCGCCCCCGGCCCGGGTGACGGGTAAGGAGACGGGGTCTTGGTCATGAGGGTGCAGCCCTCGTGAATGACGCCCGCGCTTCACAAAGCGGCTCCAGAGAGAACGCGAGCTCCCTCTGCCATGTGAGGTACAGTTACAATTCTGGAATTTTAAAGAGGGAAAATTCCGGTTTCTAGAACTGTGAGAAATAAATCTCCAGTGTTCACAGCTGCCCAGCGTCACAGCTGCCCACTGGACCAAATCAAAGTCCTCAACAAACAGAAAGACACCCTGAGTTCGTGGGTTGGAAGACACCATACTGTTAGCCTGTCACACTGTTCAAAGCCACCTACACATCCGTGCAACCCCTATCAAAACCCACTGGCCTCATTTCACAAAAATGGGGGAAAAGATGCCAAAAAACACACAGAACAGCAACTGACTTCAAAAGCCAAAACAAGGGCGCAAAGAAAGAACAAAACTCAGGACTCCCACTTCCTAATTTGAAATCCTATCTTTTGTTTCCCAGAAAACCCTGGGTCTCCACTCTGCACTATTCTGAGAGCGAAGGATCCCTGTGGTCTGTAATATTAACCAGCCTTGTTATAATCAGATGCTTTTAAAAATTAAACCTTTGTAGCTATCACAACAGACATTCCTTATGCTAAATTCCATTCTACAGTAAATTACCACAGCAAGGTTTAAACTATTCGAGTACTAACTTTTCATTGAGTTCGTAAGTCAGTGCAATTTTATTTTAGGGCTCTTAGAACTAAGTCAAAGTAGAGAACATGAACATACTCAGATTTAAAACATTCACACTATAAAACCGATGCCGGCAATTCACATCTTTAAAAGAAGCTCTGTGTTCTCAGTTTGTTTTCTTTGAATAACTGCATATACTTACCTGAAAATTTAAAAAACAATTCATTTTGAAACCCAGCTTTCTGCATTTTAACATGATGGCATTCAGACTTCAGTAAGGAGACTTCACACTTAATGTCATGAACCAGTTTGCTTAAAATCTGTAGAAGTTTATTCTCAAAAGAAATGTTGTAGATACTATTGCAAGGAGCCGAGTGATAGCGGGCTGTGAACTGGTAATAGAAGCGAGGCTCACGGTATGCTGTGGAAAACGAACAGAACAACACAGCAGTTACGCACGCAAGTCAGATGCATCACAGCTGTGCAGGAGAAATCGTTATAGGGAACAAATCCATCGTGTGTATGTAACTATGTTTTTAATTTAACAATTATCTAAAAGTTACTAAGTGACGAATGCTGGTATAGGCACTTAATACCTTACTTAAATCTCTTAACATCACTTAAGGTTGCTATTATTTTCACATCCATCATGAGAAATATGAAGGGTAAACAGACCATCGCATGACCAATGCCCCTGCTACTGAAACTAAGATTCTAACCAGGAATTTGGCCCCAGCATGTCCCCTTAACTACTGTTAAGTGTCTACTGATGGATGAATGGATAAAGGCTGTGGTATGGATATAAAATGGGATATGACAAAGAATGCAATTTTTCCATTTGCAACAACATGGATGGACCTCAAGGACATTATGCAAAATGAAGTCAGACAGAGAAAGACAAACACCATATGGTATCTCGTATGTAAAATCTAAAAAACAAACAAACAAAAAACAAGCTCACAGATTCAGAGAACAGACTGGTGGTTGCCAGAGACAGAGGGTAGGGGGTGGAGTAAAGGGGGTCAATGGTAAAGAAATTAAGATTTAAGAAAGTATTCTGGATCTGCTCCCTTTGTGAGGAGAAGGATCCCATTATGTGAAAACAGAAGACACAAACTGAAAGAAACTGAGAATAACATAATCAACAAGAGTAACACCGAGAAATGTATTTTTAAAGAAATTCTGGAAGACTCAACAGTAATATATCAAACAACCCAGTTAGAAAACGGGTAACACATTTTAGAGGATGTGCAGATGGCACCTATGTTCATAAAACAGGTTCAACATCATAGACGGCAGGCAAATGTGAATGAAAACCACCATCAACCATCACGTCACACCTGCCCAAGTGGTAAAAGTAAAGACGACGACACCACCGAGCGCCCGTGAGGACGCAGAAGCCGCGTCGCCCTCGTCTCACAGGTCGGCATGAAGACGGCACTGCCACTCTGGAAAACAGCTCGGCAGCCCCTCCTGAACTGAACATGCCGCCGCCACGTGCCTGCCGACCGCGCTGTGGGCGTATATCCGGAAGGGATGACAATGTCTACACGCCAAAGCACGCACGGCATTCACAGCAGCTTGTGTGTGTGTCCAAAACCTGAAGCAGCCCAGATGTTCCTCAATGGAAGAGTGGTTAAGCCGCGGTGCATCCACACAACGGAATACACCTCGGCAACCAAAGGGAACCAGTGATACACACACCCGACGACTTGGGGGACGTCCAGGGGATAGGCCGTATGAAAAGCCAACCCCAAAAGGCTGTACTATATCCCGGCATTTATACAACCCACTGACAGAGGTATCTGCGAACATGCACCCCCCCCCCCCC